CGTGGTTCTGTCTGTGCTCCATACATGTAGTATCTTATGTGCCCATTTTTGTTTAAAAACACTTTCAATCCCTTTCTTCATTTCTTCCTTGATTGATCATTTGAAAGTAAGTCATTTTCAAGTATTTGGTGTTATTCCCCAAGTTTTTATTACTGATTTCTGAGTGTTTGTGTTTTGAGACCAGGTATTGCTGTTTCTCAGCTGTTTCCCACAATTTCAAGAATTTCAAACTCACAATTCTGCTTCAGCCTCCAGAGTACTTGGGATTACAGCCACGCTCCACCATGTCTCACCTTTGTCTGGAGTGCTATGTTGTCATCAAAAAACACAACTGATCCTAATTCAGTTTCTAAAATCTCAAGAATTGTTTTTATGAACTATGGGTACAGAGTCTGAGTCCATTAGCCTGGAGTTCATGACCCAAGGACCTAGGGTGATGAACACTCACGATCCCTAAAGGTTTGACCTGGGGAGTGGTTCTGAGTTCATTGTCTCACATCAGTATAGATTAAAGATGCAGACACTCATGGGGGTATGAAGTGAAGTAAGCTTTATCAAGAAGAGTTATGAATAAGTTAAAAGCTGAGAAAAGGGGGGTAAACTTAGAGGGTGTTTCCAAGACAGGAAAGCCTTAAACTTGTCTGGTGTTTCCATAGGGCTACTGCAGAACCTGGATAAGGCTGAGGCCATTGCTAAGAGATCGGCTAGTTCTCTAGGCTCTCGTGGGCCAAGTCTATGGCAGGTCCATGCTCTATGTCTGTTGGCCATGGCTCTGCCAGGCAGATGCTGCTTGTGCACTGCCTGCCCAACCAGGGCTGGTTGATATCCCTGCTTCTGACTGTGCTGAGCTAGCTGCTGACCTTGACTGTCTGACAGCTGTGAGCCCTGGGCTGACCTTGCAGGTGTCTGGCTGGCTGTTAAGTACAGTCTGCTTTCCTCGTTCTCATTTCTCTCGTTCCACCATTTTCATGATGAGCTTGTAGCTATACCACGGCTGAGAATTCACTCTACCACAGTCACTAACATGTCTCTGCAGTCTGTTTTGGTTACCCCAGCTTTAGCTCCTTGTCTACGGAAGCCTTTGATGGAAGTGATTTACAACTTGGGTCTGTTACAATTGATTGCTTAGAAGCAAACATACATGAAACCAGGGGAGATGGCTTGGTAACTAAGAACATCTGTTGCTCTTGCAGAGGATCCTGCACCCACATGGCAGCTCACAATCATCTGTAACTCCAGTTCCAGAGGACCCAACTTCCTCTGTGGGTGCCTGGCACACACATGGTGCACATGTGTACATAGGCAAAACATTCGCATCAAATGCAAACAAATGTAAAAGCAAGAGTGTATATCAAAGAATAACAGTGCCTTGAGAGCTTCAGGGTGGAGGGAAGCTGGCTCACCATCACCGCCCAGAGCCCTGTTCCTATGGGTAGCTTCCTTGTCTCATACCTGGTGGCAAGCCCTCACCTTGCTGTTTTAAGCCCAGCCTCTGTTTGCACTGCAACCTATGCGAGCCACCTGCAGTTTTCACCACAGGCCTTTTCTCTTGCTATGTACAGAGAGCTGGATCCTGCGTTGCTCTCTCCTGATCTATTGTAGAGATGTTCCGTGAGCCGATGATATGTGCTTAGGTTCTTTGAGTATTGAAAGATTTGTGCTTTCTTCTCTCCAACTCACTGAGTCTCCTCAGACAGCTGCTCTACATGCTCGCTCACGCTTCTTTTGCTGGCTGTTCTCTCAGGCGTTTCTGGAATTTTATGAGGTGAGGTCAATTGTTTTCTTCAAGCACGTCCTGGGGTCATAGGCATACTGAAGCAGTGGGTATTTATTAGGTCGTCACTCCACTGTTCTTCATCTGGCTTTGTCTGTGCATGCTTTTCCCGAATTTCTAAGCTGGCCACAGTCACCGTGTCTACACTGCCTTGTCGATGCCTTAGTCCTGATTTATAGGGAGTCTGTCACTAGAGCACGACTTGTTTCAAAGCTACTGGGTAGTTTATGCCGATTTATCCCACGTATATTTAACTGCTGGTGTGTTGCTGAAAAAGAACCTGGAGAGTACCTAGCAATCGCAGTCTGTCTTCTCAAGCTTCTCCCTGTGGCTGGAGAAGGACTGTATACTTCCCCATAGTAACCATGCTGTGACCTATAGTAACCAGGCACTATGGGATGCTGCCCAACCACAGACCGATTCACCAACCACAGGGAAACTAACCTGATTCCTAAGTCATAACCCTGGCTGCCATTCCTACCAAACTTTGCCATAGCCTGAGCACATAGCCAGCCAACACAACACAACACTAGGGTAGGCTCTCCAGCCAGGCTGCCTATTGAGGGGTACTCGTGGCTCAAGATTCCCAGTCAGCCACAGGTACTAGCTGCAGTATTATGGCAGCATAATGGGGTTCTGTGTATTCTCTTGGTACTGAGGCATTTCCTAAGGCTCTGTGCACAGGCAGGCCTGGAAATGGGGTTTCATCTTCGAGCAGATTTCCAGAGCAAAGATTTGTGCTTAACCTGCCCTTAGTACATAGATACTTGAAGCACACCATACTGCCCTTGGCCCCCTTGGTTACAACCTAGTTAAATGACCACAGGAGCCTGTACAGTTCGGGAACTGGCATCAGAATTCACAGTATAGCAGGCCGTGATGCAAGCCAACACAGGTCCATCCCACTTGGGTGTAGGTCTTTTTCTGGTATCAGGACATTTTAGAACCTGTGGGTGCCAGCTAATAGCTGTGCTACCTGAGGCTGGAGAGGGGTGGTAGAGGGACCTCCCTGCTCACGTTAAGTTTGGTTCTCCCTGGATTTTACTGTGGAAAGTCTGGTACTGGGCTTCAGGCCTAAGGCCTGCAGGTGTCATGGGGATTAACTAAGGAGGGTCCCTTCAGTAAGTGGGAAATGTCTCTGCTGGGCTGTCTACAGCTCAAGAGGGGTGTGGTGGCAAGGGAGTCTCTCGTCCTGTCTTTTTGTTGTCACACTAAAAATGAGCACAGGTAACTCACAGGACATCCTTAGGTCCCATGTATGTAGTGTTTCTGGTATGTAAACAGTTGTTCAACTTGCTATTCCGTAGGGAGATGGTAATTGGAGCATCTTGGCTGCCATCTTGCTCTGTTCCACACTTTACTTTTTAAGGGATAAAAAGTCATCAGAATAGGTTTTACTAACTGCCCGGGAAAGGGGAAGAGCCCCTGAAATTGGTAGAGAAAAGTCTATCTTATTTTGAGTGTATATACCCAGGAGTCTGGCTTATTTGCCAGTGGTTTCATAAAAGTAGCTTATAAACAACCTCATTACCATCTCTGGTTCATAAAATCAATGAAACCAACTTCTGCTAAAACCAAGTAATGTTGATCAAGCACATATCAGGAACTTGATGTAAATTAGTCTTTAAAAATGTAAGAACTCAGCCGGTGGTGGCACATGCCTTTAATCCCAGCATTTGGGAGGCAGAGGCAGGAGGATTTCTGAGTTCGAGGCCAGCCTGGTCTACAGAGTGAGTTCCAGGACAGCCAGAACTACACAGAGAAACCCTGTCTCAAACAAACAAACAAAAAAGTAAGAACTCCGGTGCTGGAGAGATGGTTCAGAGGTTAGGACTGCTCTTCCAGAGGTCCTGAGTTCAATTCCCAGCAACCACATGGTGGCTCACAACCATCTGTAATGGGATCTGATGCCCTCTTCTGGTGTGTCTGAAGACAGCAACAACATACTCATAAATAAAATCAGTAATTCTTTAAAAAAAAAAATTAAGAACTCAGCCAGGCAGTGGTGGCACATGCCTTTTACTGCAGCACTTGGGAGGCAGAGGCAGGTGTACCCCTGAGTTTGAGACCACTCTGGTTTACAGATCTAGTTCCATGACAGCCAGGGCTACACAGAGAAACCTATCTTGAAAAACAAAAACAAAACAAAGCAAGCAAACAAAAATCCCCCAAACTGCCCTCTACAGTGCATATATAGTGCCCTTGTGGGAAAACGTGGAAAACTGGAAACTGGGTCAGAAAGGACAAATTGACTATTAGTCTCATAACCTTCGAAGAAGGTTTAATAAAAATAAATCCAGAAAAAGAGACAGATGACTAGAAGTCCAAGGACTTTGGACATGTCTGGAGTGGGATCTTGGATTGATCGAGGGTTACAGATTCTTTTGCTCTAGGTCTTAATTAAAATTGCCAACTGGTTCACATGTGACTGCAACACTGTGCATTTGGCAAGCAGAGAGGCCACAGACACACAAATGCTGTGCTACAGGGAAAGGGTGTGAGGCTACAGAGGTTCATACCCATTTACAGTGTGTATGAGAATGGGATAGACGAGTAATAACATTAAGGCAAAGGCTCTCCTCCTCAGCCAGCAAGCCATTCTCTCTTTTCATGTGGACACATTCCTCTCAGGGCAGTTAATTTTGTAAGGTTGCCTAGTCAGACCTTAGTAGTACTGATTGACCCAGGAACTCAGCAGGAAGAGCTAGTTGCCTTCCCACCTTGGACATGGACTCGGAAGCAACAAGGGTCCAGGTCGCCAGCACGTGATTACATGTAGTGTCTCATTTAATGCTGGAGATTCTTTGTATACAAAAAAGACAAAACTTCCTGGATCAATGTCATTGTTTTAGAGCCATACCTTTAAAAAAAACAATTTAAGATTATTTTATTTGAAGGGGAAGGGTCTCTCTCTTTAGCACAGGTGGCCCAGAATAGGCCAGGGCCTGTCTCAAACTCATAGCAATTCTCCTATTCTCCTGCCTCAGTCTGAGGATCATAGGTATATCCCACTATGCCTGCTTCTTTTTCTTCTTTTCTTCTTCTTCCTTTTCTTCAAAATTGCTTTTGAATTTAGTAAACTACGTTTTTTCTAATTCACCATTGCAAGTTGTTTGTGTTAGGCCCATATACATGGTAATACTAAGGAGAATAATGGTCAGGAATCCAAGACACACAGAGAGAAAGCACACAGGGACACAAAGCACTCACTACTGACGAGTCAGCACACTGTTGGAAAACAGAGCTTGTAATAATGAAAAAGGCCAGAGTTTTGTAACCAATCACTTATTTTCTTTTAAAAACACATAAGCACATTAAGTTTTTGCTTTTTACACCATCTAGAATCTATAGAACAGTACCACATTGTGCATTTAACCTACTTATCCAGAAGGAAACTCCACGTCATAAGAATTCTACCCATATAAGAAGGAAAAAGGAGACAGCTAATAGCATAGTCACAAATACGACATGAGTCCAAGCAAGCATTGATTCTTTGACGTCACCTTTTCCGTTTACCAGAGTGGAGAGTAGGAAAGAAAGTAAGGGTGCAAACGGGGCAAGAGTCACCCACAGAGGACTAATCACGATCATAGTTATTCTTGACAACTATAGGTCAGGGAGTCACTGGACAGCATCATTTGACCAACACGGCGTGGAGAGGGTGAGGGTTTGTGTGTGTGTGTGTGTGTGTGTGTACAGCAGAGGGAGAGGGTTTGAAAACAAAAGTAACAAGTTTCACCCTATTTCCCTCCTAAATACTCTTCATTGATACAAGCTTTTGTGCGAACCCAGAAATCCCACATAATGAATCTTCACAATGTAAGAAAGCTTCAAGGGTTTTGGTTTTTTTGCAACTGAAATAGGAGTGGTTTACAATTTTATCTTAACAGTTCAAAACAATAATAAGGTCACAAGCAGTCCTTCTCCCTGTCCACAGCATAGGACACAACACAACTAATGTTGCCAGGGGCACCAGGAGAAGTGCAGGCAACAACTTTAGAGAGAGCGTTGGAGAGACAGTGAGGCGGGACCCTGCCCTTTCTCACGCGTTCACATCTGTCCAGCAGTGCTGCTGGCTGCCTTCTGCCTGGTGGTAGTTCAGATGAACAGGAGTCAAGTGGAAATTAAGTTCAAAGGTACACAAGATGAGACTCAATCAACAGACATTGACTCCAAGGCAAACAATAGGTCATTTGATTGTCCTCCGTAGGTGGATGGCACCGTATAAAAAACTGAAGCTGGCATTGGTTTAATAAAATAAACCGAAGGTTTGCTACAAGAAAACATATTCAGTTGTAAATTGATATGGTTCTCCCCACTTCAGGGGAAACACATCTTGTCCCCCTCACTTCCTCGTCCATGATAAGAAAATATATTCTGAAGGTTGTTTCTAGGGGGCAGGCAACTCGTTATCAGTTTTGAAAGTTCATTGTAAGAAAGGCATCGGGGCCACGCCCATCAGCGCCTCTTCTCCATCAGGCAGACTTTGTACTCTCTAACTTCAGCTCTTGCAGGTCTAATGACATGTTTTTGCTTTTTAAAAAATAGTCATTGAGTAGAGTGTGGTTAACGCTGGCTAGGGGACTGACTCCTAACACTGAATACCACAAACTGAGGCTACAATATAATCAACTCTATCCCGCACGACCATGTGTTCTGGCATTGTATAAATTTGAAATAGGCAGGCTAGGAGCTTTAACATTCTGTATCATGACTGATAGTTGAAATGTAGAAATTCACGTTTAAGTGAATGACCACCAAAAAACAATTAGAAAACAGATTACCATTTTCAAAATGCAACTCAAATTTCTATTTTCCCTTGGTCAGTAATGACACTGGCTCATTAGAATAGAGAAAAGTATGGTTCCTGTAGCAGAGGGTGTTCAAGATTCAACACGATCAATGCTTATTCTAAGAAGTTACCTTAATTTTAGATACCAAAGCATACTGTTTACAGTAAAAAGTTCCTATTGAGAGGGAGGCACATTTTATTAAACTAGTAAAAAACAACAACCTAAAACATATTTATGAAATAGTGTAATCACTAGAGAATCTCAGGGTTTTGATATAATAATGTCACAGATAGTGTTATTTCTAAATCCTTTCCCTTAGAATAAGAAATCTCTGTAGTTACTGCTTGGAAAATTGAATTTGGGAGTAAAGAACTATTCTTAAATAATGCAAGTGACAGGAAGTGGAGGCATAGAAGAACAAGAAGACACAACCCCGAGTCACATGATTTACCAAGTGCCCTGTTCCTGCCTACGGGGCACGGTCCTCTCTGTCATCTATGAAATTCTTCTATTACTGACTCCCTGTCAATGTGCTTCTCTGTGCCTCAGTTCCACTCTTGCCTTGCCTTAGGTCCCCTGTTCAGAAACCAGGGAAACATGCTGGAAAGACATCACCCATTAACAAGCAACTTCTAATATTCAGCTAAGAGATCTCATTTAGAACGGTGGAGGGAGTCACGGCCTCCAGGAAGCAGGGCCTCCTCTGAGACCTCATCTGGGCTCTTGCTGAGCTACTGGCATCCTTCACGCTGTGTCTCCTGAATCTAAAGCTAAATAGTTTATTAAGAAGTCTAACAGACAGGGGCCTGGAGACAAGAAGTCTGCACATGGTCATTACACCCAACTATGGGACCGACTTCATCTCTGATCACGCAGCTGCCTTGGAATGGGAGGACATCCTCAGCTGTCACGGCAGCTTCAGGTATAGGCTAATTTGTGAGCAACAAACTGGTAGCATCTCTTTGCACTGCACTGCTTTCTACATTGAGTATAAAATGAAAAGTGGACTTTAGTCTCTTTTTCATTTCTTTTAGGGGTATTTCAAGCGCTATTAAAAATGGGGTCCTTTTCAAATAAAACTAAAATGAAGAGTTCTGAGGCTACAACCAGTTAGGTGTTACCTCTGGTTAGTGTGTAACATGACACTGGCATGTTGCATCAAGAGTTTCAGGGTACAGGATTGTCCAAGAGCACATCGGCAGGACACTGCTCACAGTGTCTAGGGCACATGAAACTGAGGAAAGAAAAACTCACATTGCTTTTTTTTTTTCAAAGGAAAACAATGATTACATACGTTGTTTCCTATAGTCTTTTGATGGAGTAATCTCTTCAGAGCTAGGAGGAGATGCAATGGGACTCTCTGAATTCACACATATTGGGGCATCTGCCATGGTAAGCTGTGCAGCAGGAAAGCCTTACTTCTGAGTAGTCAACAGGACAGATATCAGAAAAGAAATATACTCTATCACTTATCATTTATGAAAGAAATAATACTGGTTAGGGCCTAGAATCCTGGCAGGCAGAGAAAGACCAAACTGGCATCAAAGAGTCAGACTACGGGAAGTCAACTGTGAGTCTGTGTGTGCCGCCATACAGGCTCACTACCAGAGAAAGAAGGTGACAACGCACAGGGCTCTGGGTACACAGTACCCCTGATTTTATTTGTACAAGAAACGACTGGTCACTGAACTTTCCTATATATTCCTAATCATTACCTCAGTTACCTCAGAAACCAGTGAAATCTATCCCCAGCTTTAAAGTACAAAACCCCAGAAGAGTAAGGAAAAAAAAAATTCTAAATAGAAATAATGCAACCTTTAATCTACCATGGGTCTCTAAATCAGTACCACTGATTATTATAAAGTATACAATTTATTTATAGTTTTGTTTTTATTTTAAATAAACGTTTGCTCTTTAGTTTTGGGGCAAGGGACATGCTTGGCAAAACACAAAAAGCAACAGAACCTACAACATTCAGTGAGCTCTTGGCGGGGGAGGGTTGTTAAAAAATCTCAATTCAGAAAGGAGAAAAAAATGGAACTTTGTCAAAAAAATGGAAGAAACTTTATAAATGAAGCTGATGAGCGAATCAGTAGGATTCGAGCAGTGTGGTAACTTTATGAGTAAAGGTTTGATACACAGACAGGAGGAGCTAACGACACAGCGAGAGTTAAGGGGCTGTAGCCAAGTTTTAAAACAAGTAAGTGTTAATGCTGTTTTCCTACCCACTGGCTTCTCTAAAGTCAGTCTGAAAGGAGCGCACATGAGTGAGCGTTCGTGACCCTCCTACGTGGGACTTCCATCTGGATCTGGGGGGTGGGCCATTTACCTTTTCCTGGTATTTATATTAATTTTACTGAATAATGGCTGTTTCTCCACCCCGACGTGTACTGGAGAAAAAATAAAGGGTCTCAAGAATGCTGGGCAGTCACTATTACCAACGATCTGTATTCCCAGTGCTGACAAATACCAAATCTGAAACTAACCATTTTCAAGAAGTCAAATGTTGTGTGTTTTCAGGCTTCTCTAGAGAATTTATGAAGAAAGGGGTGACATAAAGAAGTAAAGTGGGTATTATACCCTGAATTTTCTAAGAAATATAATTTTAAAAGTATAACCAGGTTTAGAGTCCCCAAATTTAAAAGCAGGTCACGGGTGAGTGTGTGTCATAAAATTCAACATCACTTTTTAATACATCTGGGCTTAAAATGGCCACCAAGACCTTTTCTGTCAATGCGGTATAAAGGAGGGAGGATTTGTTCTAGATGCTCAAAAATACAGTCTCCAAAAAAGACTTGTAATTTGATCAAATTCTGGCTGAAGTAGACGAGGCCTGAAGGGGAGATGTCTAATGAAGGTGTGAGGAGTCTGAAATAGACCTGTCTTTCCATTTGGTCAGTAAAGATTACAATTCTCCTACATGCAGAAGCTCATGGCAAAACTTCATTGCTGTGACTGGTATGGGTGACTGTATCCTGCACCTGCTCCTAAAGAAACACCTGCCAGAACCTCTTCTCTGAATGTCCACTACTGGGACACAAGAGGGATGCCTGGTCATGACAGTGGTGCTTGGGACTCTAGAGCAGCAGCTTAAAATTTAGCAATAAAACTTTGGCTTAAAGTTAAAACAAATGAGGGAAAAAAAATCAAACTGATACAAGTTGTTTCCGCAAAGAGCTATGTGGGCTTGACCCTCAGCAATGCCAGCCAGCCTTTAGTTTCTCCTGCCTCTCTTCAGAGGAGTAGCATTCATTTATGGTTAAGTTTCATAAATAACGAGAAACTGTACGTAACGAATACATCATATTCCCCACCCACCCGAAGCCCTCCCCATGAGAAAAGTCACATCAAATTAAAAGTAGCTTTGTAGGGGAGGGCGCTGCTCCAAGCTGCACTTTCCCTGCAAGTGCTGCCAGTGCCTCAGCGCTGGCTATGGAGGAAGGGAAAAACTCTCCATAGAAACTGACAGAAAATTTAAAAACCGGTGTCCGGTTTCAAACAGTCAAAACCGGCCCAGAAGCTGAGCTATCTCATGCTGTGCACCAGAGGTTCCCTCCAATGCCTGTTCTCCATCCTGATTGATGGGCGTCTGCATCTTTGTGATTGTAAACAGTCTGTAAGATATTAGGTTTTTGTTCCTTAAAACATCTTCTGATTGGCAAAATGAAGTATTTGTTTTAAAAATAGAAAATGAAGATTAAACCAGAAGAAAAGAAAAGAAACACAGTGAGCTTGCTCGGAGTCCATAGGACCCGATCTGAAGAGCCCGGAACGCGTTCTGTTTTCTCCTGTTCTCAGCTGGAAAAAGGTGCTGGAGGTTGAGTTGGTCGAGGGAAGAATTGTAGAGTAGGAAACCCAGGGTGTTACTCTAGACTTCAGTGAATTCAAGTGTTAGCTTCGTCATCTGTGTCTTCTATCAACACCTTAGTGTCTCGAGCCTTGGATCTAGAGTAATCAGAGGAACAAACATGTAGCTGATCAGTCACAGGCAGCGCTGGGTGTGAGTCCACTCTTCCCACCACCAAGCATGCACACTAGCAGGAGCTATCTACTGAAAGGTGAACAAGCAGGAACGACAGTAGGTTATGTTTAAACAGAATAGTACTGAAAAACAAGGATCTGAGTTTCAGCATTGGCTACCCAGTGAGCCTCAGTCAAACTGTTAGCACTGGTGATATCAACTACCACAAAATTTAGGAGGCTGTGCAGAGAGATTCTTGTACCAAATAAAATGGGACTGGGTAGCCTGAAATCATTAGCCTCGAGAGTGGAGGCAGTGTCTGTGACAGGAGAACTTGACAGATGGGGAAGCTGACATCTAGGAGGCTAAGGCTGTGCTAAGGCCTCATGAATCCATGACAGCAGAGCTGAGACTCAGACCTCACTTTAGATTCCCCCCCTCTTTGTACATAAACCTGCTCTTCTATATGCCGTCCTCTGGCTGCCATCTGATTTCTCGGCGTTTCCCTTTAACCACCTGAAATGAACAGACTCTAGCACTACGAGCCTCCCTATGGATCAGAAACCATGTTTAGACTGTTGCGAAACAGAAACCAGGTTGCCCTCTGCTGGTAGCTATGAGACCTTCACGGTGAGGAGCTCTGGCTTCTCAGCATTTTCTCCAGTTGGTTGAGGCTAGCCACCTACTTAGCCTATCCCCCCACGCCCCCACCTCAGGCACCTCCAGATTGTCAATGCCTTCTTGGACTGAAATGCAGGCTCATTCAGTGCTCTTCCCGCTGACTTTCTGTAACTTCTCCTACTTTACTTTTCCTCTTGCCTAAGACTCAGCTTCCTGTTCCCATTCTCTGACTAAAGCTTTGGCAGCCCTGGGCTTCCATACTCACTGGGCCACAGCACCTTCTGCTCGTCTCCTCTAGGATCCTTTTAGTCCGACTTTAAGATCCCAATCCAGGCCTTTACTGTCCCGTACTTGGCAGTGGCCTCCAGGCCATTCTCTGGCCTTTAGATTTCCCTTTTCTACTGCACTGTGCAGTGAGAGTAAAATCACCTTTCCTGTCGCTCCTCTTGGGAAGAACGTTTTGTTTTGTTTTGTTTTGTTTTCCCCTACAAGATGAAGCTTGCAGTTTTCAGTCTTTGGCTATTTGTCTGTTTCTTTGCTTTTGGGACAGGATCTAGTATAGGCCAGGCTGGCCTTGAGCTTGCTATGTAGCTGTGACCCTCCTGCTTCAGCTCAGATGAGCACACCCGATGACATTTTTTCACTACTGTCTGAGCACATGCGTTTCCTCCTACTCCTCATTTCCATGGGCACAGCCTTTACCTTAATGTCCAACTCAAGTCTTTCATCGTAACCTACTCTGCTATCTGTTCTCTCGGCACTGAGTGCAGTCACCATATACATTACATGTACCTTTAAGAATGTAAAGTAAGGGCTGGTGAGATGGCTCAGTGGTTAAGAGCACTGACTGCACTTCCAGAGGTCACGAGTTCAAATCCCAGCAACCACATGGTGGCTAACAACCATCTGCAATGATATCTGATGCCCTCTTGTGGGGTGTCTGAAGACAGCTACAGTGTACTTACATATAATAAATAAATAAAAATTAAAAAAAAGAATGTAAAGTAAATGGCCGATAAGAATCCTAGTTATATATTTAATAAGGTAGCTTCAACTTGCTGGGGTCTTTTGATACTAAGTTTCACAAGTAATGCATTTACTCTTTTTAATCTCCATTTGAACTACATACACCCCAAGAGGGTGTACAAGAAGAGTGTGACAGAAATGAAAGGATTTGGTCAAGGTTACACAGATGATAGGATTCCTAAACTAACTTGAAGGTTTTCTATACATAAAACGTCATACTCAAGAATCAGGTAAGTCATTTCCCAACAAACTTTTTCCTATGGCCTTTTACATTCCTACTTAGTAGGTAATACACTGGCATTTCTCATGTGCTCATGAAGATATTTCAGAAGTTTGACCACATAGAGTGGTTTGTTACTACTATCTGGAGAGGAAGCGTGGCTGAATATCAGCAACTTCATCTGGTCCAGTCTAGTAGCTTCTTAGCTAATGGTACCTGCTGTTAACCACACAGGAGTGCTCTACGTACTGGGAAGCCAGGCGAGGCCGGCGCAGGGATATGCTCTGGTTGTACTTCCACGACCGGTTCTTCTGGCGGTTTCGCACCCCATCCTCCTGGTCCATCATCTGCTCAAGTAGTGTCTGGTCATCCGCATTAAGGGGGGCCACAGAGATGTCCCGGACAGCTCGGAATTCACCACAGTTATTTAGATGTTCGTTCTCCAGGCGGAAGAAGTTCCACACAAATCGCCTAAACAAAATAGGGTAAATACATTCATGTTAAGATCTGAATATACTACTACTGTTAAACCTCCAGGAGGCTCAAGTTCCTGCTCACCAAGGAGAAAAGAAAAACAAAACAAAACAATTACAGGCTAGACTATTAAAATCAGTCAGGAAGGCATTTGCCTCATAAGCATGAGGAATGAGTCTGGATGCCCACCTGTAGAAAGCCAGGCACAGGGGTGTGACCCACCTGTAGAAAGCCAGGCACAGGGGTGTGACCCACGTGTAGAAAGCCAGGCACAGGGGTGAGACCCATCTCTAGAAAGCCAGGCACAGGGGTGTGTTTTTGTAATCCCAACAGTGGCAAGAGGGGAAGCAGAGACATGCAGTTCCCTAGAGCTAGCTCAGTCTACCTGGTGAAGTTCCAGGCCAATGAGAGACTCTGTCTCAAATAAAAGAGGAAGGTATCTGTGAAATGACAGCTGAGTTTGCTCCCTGACCCCGCCCCAATGCACACTCGCACAATAAATAAAATGAAAGAGAAAGATGGTGTGTGGACTGGAGGGTGGGGGAGTAAACAAGAATTGATTTTGGAATATAATTTCTTTCTCCTCTCAGTTTATTAATGTATTGAGTGCTTACAGGGGGGGTCTCTGCTTTTATCCCAGCAGTGAGGAAGTGAGTAAATAACCAGCTGTTAGGAACCCTCAGACCTAACAGCAAAGAAAAGCAACCAACCCAGAGTCCCTGTCTCAAGACTGCTTAGGGAAACTGATTTTGACAGGTGGCATCCAACAAAAGTGTGAGTGATACCAGAGGCAAGTCACAGGAGATTCCTGGGGATCCGTGGTTAGGCAGGGGGGACAAGGACAAAAAAGGCTGACCAAAAAAAACTCTGTTGGTGTACTGGAATAAAAGCTGTGGTTAAAACAGCAGGAAGTAAGATGGAGAGGGAGGGAAGGACCCCATAAACCACCAGAAAGAGCCCACAGCTCACAGTAAGCGTCTAATGAGACCAACATGATTCCTTCTAAATGGATTACTCAACTGTGGAAGTGAAACTGGAGCAGGGAGGAAAGACCAGAGTGGGGCGGGTTGGAAGGCTGGGGCAGGAGTCCAGGAAGGCGAAGGTGACCCAAAGTGGAGACTAGACATCTACTGGGAAGATGAAGCTGACAGAACCTGTCAAGTGGTTTGAGTGAAGATGACATCATTTACTAGGACTAAAGAAGCAGATCCTTCCTGTCAGGCTACAGCTACCTCCTCACTGGACAACCCTGTGGAGGACTCAGCAGGCAGATGGGCACAGCGCGCTGGCGATCATGGCAGAGTTAGGGCTTGAGGAACATGATTAGAAGAGACCAGAGTGCAGGGCATCATCCCAAGGGAAGGGGAAGGAGAATCAGTAACAGAGTTGAGAGGAGAAACTGGTGAGAAGAGAGAACATAGTTCTGAGAAGTTGAGTATTTGGTCTGTAATTCTGATACAGATAATTTAAAACACGGGTTTGTTTGTGGGTCAGTGAGATGGCTCAGCAGGCAGAGGTGCTTGAATAGAGGGAGACAAACTGAGTTTGATCCTAGACCCCACAAGGTAGCAGTCGAGCACGAACTACTGAGGCTTTTACTCTGACCTCCACGTGACGATGCAAACTCTGTGCTCCACTCACACATGCACACACAGATGCATGAAATAAGTCTTTCAAAATGGCGCACTTTCAGAATTGGGAACAAATGCATGAGTTGAAAGAAAGACTGGGGAGAAACAAGAGTAGAGACAGCCAAGGGTGGAGAGTGGATTTGGGTCTTAGATAGACCTAGGTACTTGTGGAAATGAAGAAGGGAGGAGAACTGACAGTCAGGCTAGTCAATTCAGTCTAGAGAAATCAATACCATCAACAAACGAGCACACTCTTTTCAGAGTCTTCCTTTGCCTTTGAGGTTAGCTTTGCTCCTAATCCTATCTTGTTTTCAGGCCATCCTCACTCATAGGAATACTAGATCTCTATCTAGAAACCATCTTTATATGCTCTCCTTTGTGCACACTCTCTCCATGGTAAAGCGTTAACGGGAGAGACCTTCACTTTCTACCAGCACACCGAGAACGGAACTTTAATGATTTTTTTTTTTTACCCTCACAGTTACTGTTGAAGAGTTACCTATCAGTCCAGTTGAGACCTATTTCTCTTGGGTTATATAAAAAACTTAAATATAGGTCAGTGAGATGGCTCAGCAGGTGTGTGCTGCCAAACCGGAGGACCTGAGTGCAGTCACTGGGACCCACATGAAGGACAGAAGCAATTTCCACAAGCATTTGCATGAAGATACACATGCAGCCACATACATATACCCAAGATAATTATAAATATGCAATTAAAAAGAAGTATATCACATATACTTTAAAGTTTGCGTGTTAGTATATAGCTTGATTAGTATATAAAAATACATTGTGCAACTGCTATCCTAAAACATGAAAATACATTACTACACTGAATGCTGCCTCTAGGGCTCTTTACCAATGTTTAGAGGACGTATTTGTAGCAGTTCTTTTGCTCCGTGATCTACCTGTAACTGATTCTGTATACCAAATGTGGTAGAAGTGAGGATGTTTTTTCTTCCATATAGATTGTCAGCTGCCTACTGTTTAATGCTCTCTCTTCACTGTTACGTACCTCCTTTTGTCAACAGGTGGTGTCATGACACATGAGTGTGTCTCTGGATGCCCCATTCTGTTCCAGAGCACTGTCTGTCTAATCTCTTATGGACATAGTGCACTGCCTTGTTCTTTCTATATGGCCAGTCTGCAGCTCAGAATATCACTCTAAACTATGTCCTTTTCAGAATAGTCTTGCTATCCTTTGTGTTTCTGTATATATTACAGAACTGCCAAGCATGGTTGGCATATACCTGTAATGTCAGCACTTGGGAGGAAAGCAGCAGAGTCAAGGCCAACCTTGGCTGCATAGGGAATTGGAATCTAGGCTGGGTAACTTAGTAAGAAACACACACACACACACACACACACACACACACACACACACACCCCACAGTCATACTCTACCATAGATCTTGCTTGTCAATCTTCACACATATACCAATCTCTCACTAGAGTTGTTTCTGGGTGTTTTAGTGAGCCTATAATATTAAATGATATGGTTTAAGCTATTATAACCATCCTCACTGTCCTGCCCACACTTGTACACAGTGGGAAGATAACTGGTGTCAGTAGACAAGGGTTCATCTCTAATCACAATGGAGAGCTGATGGTGTTTATTATCTTGTATCTTTTTCTGTTTTTTTTTTCAGGAATAAGTAATGAGTTTTAAATTGTTGAAACTTTTATTTGGTTTTGAATTTACACTATGTTGCACAGCCTGATCTCCAACAATCATCCTGCCACATCCTTTAAAATAGCTGTGACTATAGATGCATACCCCTTTGCCCAACCAGGCATTAACACATGTAACAGGGTCTTCTCTCTTATTCTATTATTGTGTTAAATTGCACCAATCGATTTTTGAACACTGTGGTGGTTTGAATGAGAATGGCTTCTATAGGCTCCTATATTTGAATCCTTGGTCCCTAGTTGGTGGAACTGTTTAGGAAGGATTAGGGGCAAGCACCTTGCTAGAGAAGGTGATAGGGAAGGGCTTCAGGTTATCTGCCTACTGCCTATGGATCAAGACGTAGCTCATAGATACTGTCCCTGCACTGTGACTGCCTGCTGCCATGCTTCCTGCCATGATCATATACTGACCCTATGAAACTGTAAGCAAGGCCCCAGTTAGATGCTTCCTTTTATAAGTTGTACTGGGCATGGTGTCTCTTCATAGTAAGAGAACAGTAAATAAAGCAAACATTAAACCTTAATTCATAGAATGAGTCTAAACTTTCAAGTCTTCACCTTTTTAGATACTATCAGATTTATTGGCTAATGTGTTCAGGATTTCTGCAACTATGCTACAAGACAGCACAGTGACAGCACAGTGTCTTTCTGGGAGTCTTCTGGGAGGTTCAGATGGTGTCAGGTCAAGCTGGCCACATAAACTGTAAGACATTCCTGTCTTTGTCCCTCTCCTCTGAAGTGGTTTGTGAAAAAGCAGTAAAAATTTCACTTCAACTATTTGGAAGAATTCTCTTAGTCTGGAGTTTTCTTCATGGAAAATATTTTGATATGGATTTAAATTTTGATGTCTTCAAAAATGTAGATTTCTTAGATTTTCCATTTTCTTATTGATTACAGTAAACTATGCTTTTTTGTTTGTTTTTGTTTTTTGAGGAATTTGACTATATCATCTAATGGTCTCTTTAAAAAACCTCCAGGAGCTGGCCCTGATGACAAAGGCACAGGTTAGCCAACCCTGAGGTTGTGACAGTAGGAGAGCTGGCCTAGCTCCTTGCCAATTGCAGCACTTGGGAACTTGGCTCTCATGCCTAGACTGGGCAGCACAGTGGAGTGAGCTCTGGAAGTGTGGGTGTGAGCGAGCTGGCCCCGAGGGCAGGACAGCAGGAGAGCTGACCATGCCTCCTGCAGGTGGCAGCATTGGGTGGCCTCGCTGGAGCAGTGCTGGAGAGCTTGCCCTGTGTGGATAAGAGAGAGTGGGCAGGCTTACCAACTCAGCTATCATTCAGGTCCAGGTTCAGGGCTTTGAGATTACCCACTCCAAATCTATATCATCTGTGAACTGTTGGGGTGCATGAAAACAAGGGTCACTCCCACTGATCCCAAAGTGCAGGATCTCCATGACATAGGGCAACAACAGGATAACTGGAAGGAGTCCTGGTTAGGAGCCGATATTGATAGTGACACAGAAGCTAGAGGCCTCAAACCAAACCAATGACTTATTCTAATGAACATTTGCAAGTGAAGATGTATGGACAGAGGGGTAGACTATGGGACGTTCTGTGACATACAATAGCTTCCACAATGAGATGTTTTTTATTCTTAGTTTATTTATTTTTTGCAACCCTTAGGTTGCAGGGCAGATACAAGGGGGCAGAGAGGAGTAGAACTGGGGTACATAATGTGAAATTCACAAAGAATCACTGAAAAGTTTAAAAAACAAAACAAAAACCCAACTCCAGACCTTCTATCCCGTGTTAGGGATGAGATACAGGGCTTAGTGCATGCTGGCCCCATCCCCAACCTTTAGGCCTTCTGACAGGCCGCCATCTTCTCCTCCCTGGCCCTTGATTAGTCTTACGTAAGCCCCTTACCAGCTGCTACTCTTTTAAAGACTCTGTTTTGTTAATATCCCTCACTGCACATTTACTTTCTATTCTGGAAATATCTCATCTATGCCTTTCCTTCTTTTGGGCTTGGTTTGCTGTTTTATTTTTGTCTTTCTAATTTCTTAAGCTTTCTACTCTTCTGATACATACATTTAAGGCTATGTTGCCAGTGGCTTTTAGTTGTATTTTACATTTTCTTTGCTATCACTTTCAATTTCAGTCTATTAAAAGTATTTTAACAGTTTTCTTATAATTTTAACTTTGACTCCAGGCATTAGATATCATAATGCTTGAATCTGAAATGTCTGAAAGGCTCATGTGTTGAGTCTTTCCAGTATTACTTTGAAGGCTATGGGATACGTTGGAGGTGGTGTCTGGCCAGAGAAGGTCACTTGAGACCTTTGAAATTTATACTTGCCCCTAGTTTTGGCTTCTATCTTCTGGTTCCTGGTCCACTGTGATGGAGGAGCCTCTGCCACATGCTGTGTTACCACGCTCTGCCATGCCACCGCTGCCATGGACTCAAACTCTCAGAAACCTTCCTATCCTGTGCCTCCTGGTTCTTTTTCACAGTAGAAAAAGCAGCAGGTGTTTTGGTTCATTTCTAAATGTCTGCTATTTTTAAACCTATCTTTTATGGTGACGACGACGACGATGGTGATATTACAGATTCTCATTATGTATCCTTGGCTGGTCTAGAACTCTTTATGCAAACCAAGCTGGCCTTGTTCTCAGTGATATATTTGCTTCTGCTTTCTTGAGTGCTTGGATATGCCCCCCCATTTTTTAAATTATATTTAGTTGTTTTGTGTGTATACATGTGGACCTGCATGCCATAGCTCATGTGTGTTGGTCAAGGACAACTTCCTTCTACCATCTGGGGCCTAGGATCAGACTTGATAGTGAGTGCCTTACTTGCTGAGTCAGCATGCTGGCCTAGCACTGGTCATCTTTAAAAAGAATCCTCTGGTAGATTGTTTAATAGTTTGCTTACCGGAAAACCTCGAGGGGGGCTAAGACAGTAGCAATGATGTCCCCAACATGAGGCTTAGAAGTGGTAGCAGTATTAGAGATTTGGATAGTCCAAGCGAAGCGCAGTATCACATCTTCTATGATGGCACAGTAGTAGTAGGCCTAGGAACACAAACAGTATGTTTCTCATCATTTGTTTTTCACTAAGAACTGAACAGTGTCAGCTGCTGAGATGTCAGGTGTCCCACCAACAGACTCATGGGGAAAGAGAATGTCACATAGGGTTTCAGCTTTCCTAAATAGTGCAGTATTCAAAATGAAACAGGACGAGTCCCAGAGACCCTTTAACAAATATCGTGTGCACACACTGTACTCAGGCTTAGACTCTAAGCTAAATGAGAACCCTGGTCAGCTGAGACTGCACTCAAGGAGAAGCATGGGAAGACAATGTCTAAGTCACTAGCTCTACAAGGAATAGTGGATCTATTAATTGTACCATTTATACTTAGACTTTCAAATTTCTTTATCCCACATGTAATACATGTTTTGCCTTGTTTGTTGATGTCGAAAAATAAAACGAGGCTTGGATTTCAGAAACACAACTGAACATAGTATTCAGCAAATGCAGTTCACCCAAGAGTCTTAAATACACAATTGCCAATAGATCCCAGAACACATGACTTCCTTATTACTAAGCAAAATTAGCACTTTAAAATGTACTTCAAAGCTGAGGCATTTTGGTAACTAGAACTCCTATGTTCTAAACTGTAGTATTTACTTAATTTACTTTTTAAAAGTATTCTTCTTTTATGTGTGTGATTGTTTGCTGGCATATGTGTAGTATGTGTGTGCCTGGTGCCTTTGGAAGCCAGGAGAAGACAATGAGTCTCTGGCATTGGAGTTACAGATGGTTGTGAGCTGCCATGGGACTGGGAAGTGAGCACAAGTCCCCTCCAAGATTAGCAGGTGTTCTTAGGCACCGAGCCATTTCTCCAGCCCTATTCTATTTAATTTAACACAGTATATTCCTCACCACTAGAGGGTTAATAAGAACCTACGATCAGTCCTTCTACAGCTGTCTTTGTCTACTCCCTAGAGACAAACATTTATAGTTATCCATCCCATCTGGCCTTCATAATTTTAAATGTTTTACTGTTTTGATTGATCAGTTTTAAACATTATCAATGAAATGTTGATTCTTTTTTAAATAAAAACGTTAAGCTAGCATACAATCAGCGACAGGCTTCAGTAGGCATCTGCACAGATTCACTCCCCCCCCCCCCCTGGCCCTCACCCCCTCTCCTTCCCCCACAATAGCTCCTCCTCTATTTCCATGTCACATGTAGTCATCACTCCCACCTCTCCTCCCTTAAGATCTCTTTTTAATCCTTTCATGGTCCCCTTCCTAGTTGCATTATCCCCACCCCCATCCCCAACCTAGGTTCCCCTCTAAGAGAAGGCAGGCAGAATTTGTATGAGGACTGTAACAGGATTTCATAATGAAGGTTCACTGGACTTTACAAATGGCTTCTTTTTTTTCTTATAAATTTGCAATTATAATTCAAGAAAGTATACACTTTATTTTCTAGAGCATTAAAATATATACTAACAAAGAAACTGGCTGAAAGATTCTATTCACTAATCTCACTACATGGAAGCCAATAAATGAAAAGTCTATGACAGAACACAGACTGACATCTATATAAAGAGACACTGACCTTAAGCAGTCAGCACAAGAAACAAATGTGTTGCAGTGTGTACCAAACACCACAGACAGTCATGAAAAGCACACACAAGGTGAACATAAGGCAGTTTTACCTGACCCTGTTTTCTTTCTTTAAAATGGTACTAGGGCCTGAAATCTGCGTCTTGCACCTGCGTGTGCCTGCATGCTATCACCTGGCCTCGCCCTTGTTTCCCTTTAGTTGAGAATTATAAAAATATGTCTAATGCCTCAGTGATATTTTCTAAACTTTCACATCAGGAGCCTTTGCTTTCATGCAAGAGCCCACTGAAGTCACCTCACCCACGCACATCCTGCACACTTACTTTGCTTCAGCCCTTGCAGGCAGCCTTCTCTATTCAATATGCACAGTCACATACTTTTCAAAACACAAATCTGACATAATGGTGACATATTGGTATAGGTTAAAACATTATTAACTCAGAGCTGGAGAGACAGCTCAGCAGTTAAGAGCACTGACTGCTCTTCCAGAGGTCCTGAGTTCAATTCCCAGCAACTACATGGTGGCTCACAACCATCTGTAATGTGATCTGATGCCATTTCTGGTGTGTCTGAAGACAGCTACTGTGTACTCACATACATAAAAAAACATAAATCTTTTAAAAAAATTATTAACTCGATCTCTATGTTACCCACACAGAACTTTAGGCCAAAGAACATATCAAGAGCTAATGTAGTCTAATGTCCTTACCTTTGAGAATCTCCTGCAGTCTGACTGACTAAATGGCTTAGTTGGTGGTACAGATGGGATTGGATATAGACAGCTAGATTCCAAGTTCATTACTTAATATTATCAAGACCTAACCATGGTATTTACCTTTAATAAATCATCTGTGTAAGGATACTTTTGTTTTTTAATTTAAAATTTAGCTTCTCATACCCCTGTATTCTAATATGCCAGTAAAATCCTAAAATAATATATTACATATAAAATATACTATATACACTATATATACACTATATATACACTATATATATATATATATTCTCCCGTCCTGATGCCCTGATTGGGTTGGTACTTGCTTCTAACAAATGTCCTTGCATCTACCACATAGCAAAGAAGACAATTTTTATTTTTTTTTTTACGGACTAGATTAGTATCTTGGAAAATAATTTTGTAATCATATTAGTTAATATAACTAGATCTTGGGTTAGTATTGCTATATGGCCTAACTATAGATACATCTAAGATTTTAATTTTTTTTCCTTACATGTAAACATTCCATACATACTTTTTGAGGGTATACAATTTCTTCCCGGAGGAAAGTGTTTTCTCCTGCATTCTTATCAAAAAGACCCCAGTCCATCTTGAGATCCCAGATGAGGGTATAGCAGGAACTGATGATACAAAAGACGACCCACAGGTAAAAGAACACCATGGTGTCAGAGTGACCTCGTTCTGGAGAAAGAAAAGGGAAGAGCAAAAGGATAAGAGAATATTACTAAATTGAACTAAAGTTCCTAAGTAAGACCAATTAAAGATAAACTCTTCATAGTGCCCATAAATACATCAAACTGTTAAAATGAACATCCTTAGAAGAATCATTGTCTAACAAAGGTTAAAAACAAATATGGCTTCTCTGAGGTACAAAAACAATCATTGAACTAATAGTATACAAAATCATATAAATGTTTACTAGGAGTGTGTAACATTTCAATGGACTCTGGATGTTCTAACATGTCATTTAAACTTCTACCATTGGGTGGCAGCTTAGGGTAAAAGATAGAGGGAAATGCAGAAAGAAATGCAGAAACATCACAAAGAACCTGCACCACTTCAAGACCTCCTTCCTGTGCTGCTTTTACTTTAGAGTTTTTCCTTTCTTCACACACTTGCTGTCTCAATGCTTACTGTTGAGGAGTGCGGACAACTCCAGAGAAAGTGCCCGCGCACACAGCAGAGGTTGTGCTGAGGCACTTGCCCTCTATGTTTATGGAAACAAGCTTTCCTCACGCTACAGAGCCTGATGACTTTTGCTTTTTCTTTTTTTTCTTTTTTTTTTCCCACAGAGACATCACTCATACAAAGGCTAATTTGTCTTTATGCTGGAAACTTTTGGCTTTATTCTGAGAACACAATAAAGCACATTAAATCAGAATAAAAATAATTTGTAAACATAGTTATGCAATTTAATCTTTTTGGTTTTAAGTGCCCTGTTTGCTCCCTGAAATCCTCCTTTGGTAACTCCCTGAGTTCCCATGATGTTCTACATTTTCAAGATATGGCTAGATAACCAATAATCTGGTTCTGAATTATCAGGAAGAGTAATGGTGCACATGATCTAACTTCAGAAAGTTTTAAATTTTGGTCAGTTTTTCAGACTGTTTCATGCATTCTCTACAATTTATCCTATTAAAATAAACAAGTATTTGTGAATCATTTTAAGGTTATTAATGAGTTGCATATAGAATGATCTAAAGGTAACTAATAATTTACTAAGTGACAGACATTTGCTACATAAGAAAGCTGAGTTCAAATGAAGTACAAGGAACTGAGAAAACACCAAGGAGAATGGGAGTTTCCCACAGAAGGAAATGAACATCCGTAGCATTTGTGATATTTCCAGAAAAAGAAATAAACAGTATTACAAAAGCTAAGCGGATAAAGCGAGGTCATTCAAAGCTGAAGACATTTTTGAAAAGGCTTTAGGTATGAAAGTGTAATGTTTAAAAAGTTGTTTACATCTAGAGTTTGTAAGACATAGGACAGCACATAAGACAGTTTGTGACAACTTGAAATGACATTGGAAAAGACATGGGACTTGACTTCAGAAAGCCTTCTTGGGCCTTAGGATCAGCTCTGTATTTTAGTAAAATAAATGCTCAGACATTTATTAAGACCAGAATTGCATAGTCAGAAAAAAAACTGATACCTTGCAGGTCTAGAACAACTGGAGTCAGTATGTCTCTGCTCATAAGATACACAACTGCTTGCTGAAACAATCATTATTAAATGGTAAGCTATATAAACTTATAATTATGTATATGTTAAAATAATAGACACTCAAAATTTATCATTCCTTCATGGTGTTAAACTTTGCTCTTCTCTACTCTTCCAAGGTTGTATACATTCTATCTGCATGATGGAAACACCGTACTGCTGG